TACAAGATTTGAATGCACCATGCAACTATGGAGAATAGTATAGGTTCTTGGAAAAATGGCATCACTGAAAGCTTAGTTAAGGGCTTAACTGTGACTCCTCTAAAAGTTCTAGGGCAAGTGGAACACATTTGTATTGTAGCATAGAGACAGAGTATGTTTGAAAACAATACAGATGTGATCCCTCACTTCTGTAAGAACTCTTTGGGAAGAATAAGGGGGAAGAAGAGAGAAACAAACTATTAAATCCATTTCTGACCTTGCCTACACCGGAGCAGATGTTCATGCCCATAGCTGTTTCACCAAGAGCAGCAAGACAGTGAAATGATTATGACCCTCTGACATATTGTTTCTGGTGAACCACTTGCAGAGTACTAGAGGCAGGAGAATGAATTGCACTGCACTATAAAGGCAAAAGATAGTTAGGACAGGACAGAAGAGACAGACTTCTGCCCCTCCTCCTACATATGATAGTCATCAGCGGTACATCACATCTGGACTCAACCTGTAAGAAAAACATATGACAATCATGTCAGTCATCTCTGGAGCTGCATCTCCTAAGGCCAAGAGTGAAGCATTATGGGGGAGCAGTAATGCAGACATGATCCTTGCTGCAACTGTCTCACTAAATTTAAATTCCTGTGACATTTAGAACATCTATTACTGTAGTTATTCTCTATTACAAAGTACAAATATTATGCTCAGTGCTACTAAAACATTGCTTTTCTTTGTCAGCTTCTTTGCAAAACAAAAAGTTCAAAGAAACTATTATTCATATAGAGTCTAAAGATGCAAAATGCAACAACTGTAACACTGGCAAAATATTTTGGTCTAAAATACTGGAGGCCAAATTATATTTAAAACATTTCCAAAAATATTATCTACTACATTTCTCCACACATTACTAATACAAATTCTAAAATTCCCTGCTTAAATAAATAAGTTTCCATTTATACTGTAAAAGCAAATATCAGCCTTGGCTAATGCAGCAAGTACTACAGAAAAACAAGGTTGACACTAAAGAAAGGATTCCATATCACATTCTTACATACAAGTACAAGAACTTTTAAATATTCACTTTCAACTCTGCTCTCACCACACTGGGAATGAGATTTTTTTTCCTTGTACAGATAAAAGCAGTTGGTGGACGTGAACAAGTGCAGGATTGCTAATTTTTAATTAACTAACTATCATGCTGCCTACTAATCAGGTGCAGTTATCTTCTCTGCAAAAGCCTGCATCTGCTAGGGCCTATGATTTTCCACCAGGGAACAATCACGAAGGCAACCACCATTCCCCCTATGAAGCACAGAAATTAATTAAAAAACAAGAGAAAGAAAGACAAGAAATATATGAAAGGGGAAACACTCTACCAACTTCCATGTTTAACCTGCTCACATTTTTATTTACTCTTTCCTGGGAAAACTTCCCTTTTGATTAAAGATATGATTTAAGTATGATTTCCCCCACATCATTAACAAAATGTTAACTAGATGAGCCAAAACAAATTTATTGAATTCAAATCCCACTTTCAGTTTCAGTGGGTAAGGAGGTGTTGAGATCTGAATCTGCCATTCTGATTTTGGTTATAGGCTGCATCCAAAACTGGAAGGGGCTTATTCTGCAGTTCAGGTGGAGCCAAAAACTCCTCAAAGAAGCCACTGTCATACAATGTGCTCCCAAGATAGCGCCAATCTCTTGAGAACTGACAATCTTACAAGATTTTCACCATCTCTAATATAGGTCCAGATTTTGTGCTTTCATATATGAAAGAGCCTTGATTTGGCATTGAACTCAGATCCTAGTACAAACTATCAGGAGCTACCAGAACACCATTTCTTCAACCATCTAATACTTTCACAAACTGTGACTTGTCACCATAATTTCTCTTCCCAAGCCTCACAAGTTACTCCCCTCACTGCCTGAATTCCCTTAAGATCCCAACCATCTTCTTCTAGGTTTATTCACAATTTCAGAATCCTACCTAAGCTATTTTTCAGTGAAGAAAATAAAAGCTTCAAATAGCACTGTAAACAAACGTAGAAGGTTTCAATAAGAATTCAGTGTTTACATCCAATAAATACATTAGGGGAGGCACTTTTACTTTAAATAATTTGGCACCAATGTCATTCCTTTCTAAAGAGCATATTTGTTATGGTACAACAATAATCTTGTTCAGTGGTTATTTTGTCTGCAAACCAAGTTTGTACCTAGTACCTGACACCAAAAAGGATCCCAGGGAGCTTTACAATGAGCAAGTATTTATAGCACCATCATGCCCACCTCAAAAGACAACCATATTAAAAGGTGTTAAAATGTGACTTGAGAGAATAAACCAAAGATGAATTGGAAGGGGGACGTAAGAGGGAGGTGACAGAATAAATAAAATGTGGGAGGAAGTTATTTCCCCAAAACACCAGCATGTAGAAGAGACTGATAACCACCTTACCCCTTCTTTGAATAAATTCTCAAGGCAACTCCTTGTTAACCCCCTTTTTTTTAACCTGTCTGGAAAGTCTCATTATCTTCAGGGTATTACAAACAGACAAATAATAAGTATGGTTCACGCTTTTCCAAAGCGTGGTTTTTGCTTAGACCACCACATAAGACTGAGACATTCCAAATAAGAAATGGCAGCTACATGAATACACATATGGCAAAGTAATGTCAAATGGCTAACTAGAATTCTAAGATGCTCATACAATCATAGAACTCTAAGGGACTTCAAGATGTCATTGAATCCAGTCCCCTGCACTCATGGCAGAACCAAACACCAGCCAAACCAGAGGTCTCAAACTCATGACCTGAGCAGTTCCACAATCCGGCCTACATGCAACTGTTGCCATGTGAGTCCCAGCAGCCCGGGAGAGTATGCCTGTACCCAGCCCCTAATCCAACCCCCTACCCCACTTCTTCACACCCCTGCTCTGCCTTCTCCCCGCCCCAATATTGCATACCTTCCCTCCAGCCCCCTCCGCTGAGGGACATGGCCTCGGGGATTACTGGGGGCAGCAGCAGGAGTTGGCCCCCTCGCACACACTGAAATAGCAAGAGCTAAGGGGAAATGGAGTGATGCAGTAGCCTCTGCTCCACTCCCGGGCCAGCCCAGTTGCTCTGTTTCACCGCTCCGTACAGACCTTCCCTGGGCCACAGGGACATGCTGTCATTAGCATGGAGTTAGCCGCTGGAAGCTGCTCTAACCCTACTGTGCTGCCAGTGGTGTCAGCAGAGAGTTTTAAATCACCAGCCAGTCTGGAGCAGCTCCTGAGTCCTGCCAGAAGGGGGTTGCCCATTGGCCCACTAGGAGGATTTAAAGGACTGGCAGTGGCCCTAAGGTTAACTGAGTTTGAGACGCCTGATCTAGACCATCCCTAACAGGTGTTTGTTTAACCCGATCTTACTCTCCAATGATGGAGATCACACAACTTCCCTAGGGGGACACAATTTATTCCAGTATTTAACCACCCTGTTTAGAAGTTTTTCATAATGTACCACCTAAACTTCCCTTACTTACAATTAAAATCCATTGCTTCTTGTCCTATCATCAGAGGTTAAGGAGAACAATTTTTCATCCCCCCCATCCGTAACAACTTGAAAACTGCTACATCCAATCTCAGTTTCCTCTTTTTCAGACCAATCCAATATGTTAATCTTCCTTCATAGGTCATGTTTTCTAGACCTTCAGTAATTTTTACTGTTCTTTTCTGTTCTTAACTGAGTAAAAATTCACATCCCTATTTGCAAGCCCTCCCAGGTTAGTATCTTCCACAAACTTATTAAGCATACTCTCTGTGCTATTATCTAAATCAGTAATGAACATATTGGACAGAACTGGTCCCAGAACTGATCCCTGTGGAACCCTTGTTATGCACTTCCAGCATGACTGTGAACCATTCATAACCACTTTCTGGGAATGGTTATCCAACTAGTTATGCACCCACCTCATAGTAGCTCCATCTAGGTTGTCTTTCTCTAGTTTGTTAATAAGAAGGTCATGTGAGACTGTACAAAAAGCTTTACTAAACTCTAGATATACCACATCTACCACCACTACCCATATCTCCTCCCATCATCCACAAGGCTCATTATCCTGGCGTGACAAGCCCACACTGTTACTTATAAACTTGTTATCTTTTAGATGTTTGCAAATAGATTCCTTAATTATTTTCTCCATTATTTTTCCTCATACAGAAGTTAAGCTGGCTAGTATGTAATTCCCTGGGTTGCTCTTATTTCCCTTTCTATCTTTTATCCTCTCATCACTCAAGTTATAGGTAAGGATAGCATTTTTACATGAAAATCATGCTTACAGATACTCCTGTTACATTTTCCACTTCAACTTCAGCCCTGTGCTCTGGGATGGTGGGGACCCAGGTGCTCTGAGATATCACAAATGGCAGGGGTCCTGGATCCCTGAGCAGCAGGTGTTGGACCCTCCCACAGCAGATCTCAAACTCTCATCCCTCACTGTGGAGCTCAGGCTTCACTCATCCCCTGCAAGGCCCCATTCAATTATTTTTAGTAACTTTATTTCTTAAAAGTATTTTAGCTTCTGTGAATTTTTGTTTACTACCCATGACATGTCTGTAATTTTTACTGAAAATAACCATGACAAAATCTTAACCTTACTCCTAGTATTTTATACATGTTCTCACATTTAATGAACTTCCAGTACTTCATATCACCAAATACAGTAACATTAACGGAAGTAATATTGCCATGCAAATACATGAACTCTGACTGCAAAAGGAAATTGCTATTAAATCTCTGCAAGAGATTTCTGAGTTTTTTTCTTAGTAGGAATTGTCAGATGTCCATGGTGGTCAAGTTATAGAATAAGTACACAGAAATGAAATAATGAACCAAAGTTTGGGGGGGAGGGGGGAACCAGCACTAGAAAACAGACTCATGAAAAACAAGAGAAGAATTGTGCTTCAAAGTATGTGCTCCACAAACATGTTAACACTCTGTAATGAGACAAATTAAAAAGAAATGCAACTTACTGGTAAAGTTCCTGGTAGAGAAGCATCAAAGAAAGATACCAAAGAATTAGGTGGTGCTGCAAAATGGACTTGGGAGCCAGAGAAAAGCTTTGAGCTGGAACTGATCTGTGCATGAATTTCCAGACCCACCACTGCTACCCATGGAGCAACACTGAAAAGAGCAGGAAAAAGGAAACATGATTAGTATATCCTCTATTAATATCCATAAACTTGCAAACACTACAAAACAAAACCAACCTCACAATACCTGTACCAAATTGTAGCACTATGCTGAAATATGGGGAAAACTTTTTCATTATATACAGGTAGAAAATACATAGGAAAAATAAAAGGTCTAAATCAGCAAAGCAAACCAACATGAGTAACAGCTTGCTTGATCAACCCCCATTTTGTACCAACAGAAATTATAAATATCAGTTGCATTTCATGTACTTTGATAAATCTCCAACTGACAGGTGGCATATCAATTATGTATACATTATCAGCTAGTCACTTGCAAGTTGTATTAGCATAAACAGTAGTAGTCCAATAATAAAGAAATCATCATTTTCACTAGAGAGCCACTGCTCTCTGAGCATACTCCACAAGAATAAGCTTCTCCATATCATCTGAAAAGTAATTGCAATTCTCACATCCATAACCTTTATATAGGCAAGAGATGGGGGTCACCTTCACACTGTGAATTGCTTGACAGTTTCTGTAAGTAATTATCTGGCCTTGCACGAATGAAGTGACATTAATATAATATTTCACTGGTGAAGTCAGGTTTTTATGGCAAGATAGTAAAGCAATATTAAGTACCAAGATAGATATAGTCAATAAGTGGGTTATGGAAAAACATTAAACAAATACATCAAATGCAGCATATTTTTTTCCAAAAGTGAACTGAATAAGCTTGAGCTGTCAAGAGTTGAGTTCGGGGTTCTGTCTTGCTCCTGCAACCATTGATGATATCACTGCCAAAAACTGATTAAGGGAATGGAAATACTGTCACTTAAGGTTAATTTTCAGGCATTGAAATAAAATATTTTACAACAAATAGTTTTTCTCCATGGCTGTGTCTAGACTGGCCAGTTTTTCCAGAAAATCAGCTGCTTTTCCAGAAAAACTTGCCAGCTGTCTACACTGGCCGCTTGAATTTCTGCAAAAGCACTGACTTCCTACTGTAACATAAGAACTGTAAGAAATCAGTGCTTTTTGAGGAAATACTATGCTGCTCCCATTCGGGCAAAAGTCCCTTTGTGCAAAACTTTTGCGCAAAAGGGCCAGTGTAGACAGCTGAGATTTGTTTTGTGCAAAAAAGCCCCGATCGCGAAAATGGTGATCGGGGCTTTTTTGCGCAAAAGCGTGTCTAGATTAGCCATGGACGCTTTTCCGCAAACAGTGCTTTTGCGGAAAAGCGTCCATGCCAATCTAGACGCTCTTTTCCGAAAATGCTTTTAACGGAAAACTTTTCCGTTAAAAGCATTTCCGGAAAATCATGCCAGTCTAGATGTAGCCCATGTGTTGAGTGAGACTACAAAAATCATATTTGTAAAAATAACTAACTAAATAAAAAAAACCAAGGCTCATTAGCTATGTTTCAGAAAGCAGACAGAATTAATATCTAAGGCTCTAAATCCCCCAACTTTTAGACATGTCTTAGCTTTACTATCCAGATAAGTCCCACTGATTTCAGTGAAACCCATGGGAATTAAATTAACAGGAGGACTCATGGCAGTAAAATTAAGCATATGTGCAAGTATTTACAAGACTGGGACACCTCATTTTGCTTTCATTATTTCTGCTGGTTTTTTTCCTGCATTTTTCTCAACAAAGAAGCACATCAGACTGGCTTGTGGTGGGATTTGGCAGTCAATTACTTTTTTTATGGTGGCTGCATCTTATGCTTCAGGTTCTCAGAAAGTGTTCCTGGTACACTGAGCACCTGGGTGGCCACACAGAAGAGATACATATACTGTCCAGCTGATTAGCAGCGTGTCCACAGCTATCCACAGTCAGCAGCATGTGCTTCTATGGGTGGTGCACATCTACACATGCCTTGGTGCACACAAAATTTATTTTGCTCATGGGTGGAAAAAGGAAGCGGGAACCTTGTTCTCAGGTTTCATTTAAAAAAGCAAGTATATATCTAGCTATTATGTTGCAAACCCATGATACAGTATTTGCCTTGATCTACAGAAGACCAGAAACAATAGCTGTGATGGATACGAATAGTTTGCATTCATGTGAACCCAATCTTAATTTTGAATCAATTATGTCAATTTTAATATCAACATGACATTACTTCACTGCTTAATATGCACATACCAGTAAGTAGAGTAACCAAATTACAAGTACCTGTACAATCTACTGTGATTGGTATCTCATTTTATGTTATAAATAAGTGGAAATTTAGACTACCTTGTCACCTCTCATTTTGACCTCTGATCTCAGTTCAGAGTAGATGGTGAAAAAACAATCTGTTTAATTTGCATCTATAGCCTGTTCCTAGTCAATTGCACATACAATACTGCAGTACTCCAAAGAAGAATGATGGCTTAAAATGATTTTCACTGCGATTTTCAAATATTTCATGAAAATATTTCTATCACAAAGGTTTGGGGAAAAGCTTGTTTATACCTAAATTTTGGGCATAATTTCACCTGAAAATATCCCCTTAAAATTCTCCTTTCTAATATGAGTATCCTTTTTCAAAGTTTTGTATGTAAAGGTCCTTGTCTTGCATTCAGATGCACATAGTCACAGCCTTGGGTCTACTGAGGTGCAAATGTCTCTACATAAATATCAGATTGCATCAGAGCTGAAATTGCCCTAACTGAAAGTCCCTGCAATTCCGTACAGTGCTTTATTTATATTAGATTTGTCTAAAACCAATCACTGTAGCATGCAACTGCAGCTGAAGTCTATGTTATATTATGTTAAACTAGTGGAGGAAAAGTACACATTCAAATCCTTGCAGCTAATGAACTTCTAAATTTCCTTTGATTCAGAAAGTTCTTAAAAACCAGTTATTTCAGCAACAGGAATAAGATGATGACCCACAAGCCACTGATAGACCAAGGGATTCACTCCATTTATGTGCCTATGCGCTCAACTGCCACAAACTGTGACTCGAAACCCTTTATGGGTGGCATCACTGACGACACTTATTCATTGACATTTCAAACACTCACCCACCTTAATCTGGGACAATGCTGGTTATGTAACCTATTTATCCAATTAACTGAGTAAACTGACACTTGCAACTCCTCTTAACCCAAGCTTTATCCCAGATGAATAGTGATTTCCTTTTTTAACTTGTATTTTGTAAACTTTATTTGAAACATTAGAAAAATGTTATTAAAGCTATCTGATTTACAGGAACTGGTGAGAAACTGAGAAAGGGAGGGGAAACGTGGGTGATGAAGTTATGAAGCTGGAGGAAAAGGGATAGAATAGAATCATAGAACACTAGAACTGGAAGGGACCTCGAGAGGTCATTGAGTCTAGTCCCCTGCCTTCATGACAGTTCCATATATAAAGAGAGATGACACTGGAAGTAGTCGAGGAACTGATTATTTAGGCATATAAAACAGTGAGAGGAGAATCCAAATAAGGACATGCTATTGTGGAATACAGTATGGAGTCGGGAAAACTGGGGAAGTTTCAGAAGGGAGTGTTGGATACGCAGCCCCGCACTCAGCGCTGAGCTGGCTCTACCCCAGTCCAGCTGAAGTTCCCATGCCCGAGCCTTACCCCAGCTCTCCCGCAGGACTATTCCCCGCTCTTTGGCCGGAAGCGATGGGCCCTGCGGCCTGCGCCCTTCTCCGGCTCGGTCCTGCGTGCAAGCCGGTGACACCCCCGGCTCTGCCGTGCCGAGCCAGAAGCGAGCCTCGATAGGCCGCCATCTTGCTCTGGGCTGGTGATGGATCAGCTGACCTAGCTGCGGCCGCGGCGCCTTCTGGGAAACGTAGTTTCGTGGGGAGAGACGGCGAAGCGGAGTGGGGCAGCGAAACTACAACCCCCGCCAGGCCAAGCGAAGTCGATTGATCTTGTTCCAGCGCCCGGCGCCCTCCCTGGAGCCTGACGCTCCCGCGGGTGGCGGTGACGGCACGTGCTGTGTTGGGGGAAGAAGCGTCACCTGATGCACAGGTAGCCAGCACCGCAGGGCCGGGCCCGGCTCCCGGAAATCTCATCTCCATCCAGAGCCCCGCAGCTCAGGAGCCGGGGATTTGGGGCTTATTTCAGAGATGGGAAAGTTGGGCTCCAGGGTTTGCACCCAGTTCCTGCTCCTCGTTAACCTTTTGTAAATACGAAATACATGGAGTCCAGTTTGAAAAAGTTGTGCATCATAAATTCTCCTCATCTCTCTGCATCTGGCCTTATGTCACTGGTCAGCTGCAAATCTGCCTGCTCCCATGCTCCACCCATACTCAGCCACTTTGGATTGTTATCATCTCTGGGCAAGGGCCAATCTAAAGAAACTCTTGTTTTATAATCAAATACCTCCAGGCCCATAGGCTTTCCAGTTAACTCATCCCAAAGGACAGTTTCATATGGTGACAAAAGACATTAATGCATTTCATCAAAACATCTTGCTGTAACACCAAAGAGGTTTCATAAGCCTTGATACTTGATGCTACAGTGCTTGCAGTATGCAGGCTCATGCTATGTAAAATAACAATCCTGGAGGTTGCTAGAATAGATTTTATTTATAGTTAGGTGCTGATTTTTTATTTAAGCATTGATGATGCAAGCTGCTCTGTTTGGCTAATCTTTGGCTCTACACAGGCAAATACAGAAACCTGCATGGTATGGCCCTGAGATTGCTAGAATGCCAGTCACTCTCACCCTGTGTCCATCTTGTTTATATTATAAATTCTTTAGGATAGAGAGTGTTTTACTACGTGTATGCAGAGCACTTACGACAAAAAGGCCATAATGTTAGTAGGGACTCGAGTTACTGTAATACAAAGGATTGAATAGTAATAACCATTCATTGTCACAAACTATGTAAACATCGCAGTTGCTATTAATACAGCTATAAGGGATGGAGAATAAAATTAACAACTTTGTCCTAGGTTACAGGCCTGTGGAGTTTAAATGGGAATAGTCATTAACTGTTGTTTGTGTCATTTTAGTAGGCCAACTGCTAGGAAAAGATAATCAATCACAAACATTGGAGCAGGTCTGATTTCATCCAGTAGAGGACAGTGGTGCACACAGACACCAGCTAGTATTTTACAATCTTTATGTTTCTCATCTTGCCAAACCTCAAGATGTAAAACGCAAGGAGGTTGTGACTGCAAAATGCTTAGAATGGTGTGGAGGGCAAATTATTCAGCAAAGATAAATATTATTTTTGTTCCATAGTTCTGCTTTTTTTTAATGTAAATAATTAAAAAGTGAGTTAGTGAGGTGAGAAGGATATTAATTAGTTTTAAGAGAGTTGGACAAATTTATGAGTGCAGTTGTATGATAGGGTTGGTTGGTTGTGTTGGTTAGGAGCAGGGATCAACAGCCCTGGGGCTTACTTCCACTGTATGTCTTATGTTCCTAAAGCTTCAGGGTTTCAGCCAGTCGCTGGCAGGTTCAAGAAGGATTTCTCTTCCACACCAAAACATTCTAAGAGGAGTTTTTAAATTATTTCCTTCCTCTGAAGCATCAGAACTGGCCACAATTGGAGAAGGGACGTTTAGTAGTGTGGGCCAGAGCTCTGAGATTATACTGAACATTTTTCTCCCTCTGATAGCTAGCTAGCTAGTTTTTGCTCTTATGCTCAGGATCTGACTGATCATCACAAGTGGAATCAGGAGAGAATTCTTCCCAGGTCAGATTAGCAGTGATTTTAGGGTGTGTTTTCTTTCCTCTGTGGTGTAGGTACAAGTCACTTGCTGGGATTATATAGGTATTTTTCAGTTAATCATTTCCCCACCACAGTATGGGCAATGGGCACTCAAACATCTCGATCCCTGCTGTTCACTGCCTTTGATGCATACCAGTCTAGTCTCCAGTGGATTGTAATACTTGGGACTCATTTCAGTTGGGTTTAGTGTGTTGGAACTGCATAGTGTTAGTGCCCTGTGATGTACAAGAAGTCAGATTAGATGATCCCTTCTGACCTTAAATTCTGTGACTTTATATTCCTTATAAAAAGTCCAATTTAAGAGGTATGCTTAAGGTATTTATTTCTACTTATTTGTACAATTTAGAATTTTGGGGGGCTACTAGTTTCTGAGATTATCCCCATTATTCTATCAGAGGTTGATGAGCAGAAAATAATGAGGCAAAAGAAAATCTTGCAGCAAAGATGTAATGGACACAGCAGCTAAATTCATTTTTGGAAGAAAGAAAGAAGGTCCATGATGCCTTTGTATCATCCCCCCACAGTAGTGTTCTGGCACGTTCAGACCCCCTAACTGGAATTGCAGATCAGTGTTGTTTAATGAGTAGTTACATTTTAAAATTGTATTTTATTTATCTTGAAATTAATGCTATAGGGGCAGACTCCTGTTCTTTTGTGTGGGCCCCCTTGGAGATTAATAGTACTCCAAGGGATCCCTGGCAAACTCATTGGGGGATGATGCTGTAATGCAATCGAATGATATTTTGATAACACGTTCATTTCTTTCACTGTTGTCTTCAGAAGTGCTTCTGGGTGTTATTTGCTGCTTTGTAGAGAGTGGTAGATAAAAATAGGCACTTCTGAATATGGTGTTTATGTTTCTACTGATGGAAAAATGACAAGTTTTTGGCTACTGTACTTTTCTTAAGCCCAGTATTGTGGTGTAGTGGAAGATTTCACAAATAATAATTAAGAAGTTCAAATCTTATAAATATTAAAACCATACTAGCTAAAGCCTCGCCCTACTATATTTTAACAGATTTCTCCCCTTTTGAATATATACTTGAAAAAGGGAAAGGGCCACTTAGTAGGTTGCAAGGTTCCCCTTTCATACCTAAACAACCCTCCCTGCCAAAAAATGAGTTGCTTGCCACTGAAATAATAGTTTTGAAAAAAAGACCCACTGTTTGTGCTTCAAGATGCCCTACACCCTCTTACTTCCCTTCCCAGAAAATCCTATTTTTAAAAATCTTTTTGACTGGCCCTCTTTCACACATATGATGCTGATCAATTGTAGGGCCAGCAGGGAATAACTGTCTTTCCCAGCAGATTGCTTTGCGGTAAAGGCCTCTGTATTATTTGTTCCTCTCTGCCTTAGTCTGGGACATTCACTTTACAATCTGTTTATAAATCATGTCCTGCCTTGGAATAGCAGGGTGTCTCTCCAGTGTTGCATAAAGACTTTCATGACAGTAGATCTGTACTAACCATGTAGGCTTCCCTATTGGGGAGACCCCAAAGGATAGATTTCTGTGAATCTGAACTTCTTATTAATATTGAAATGTAGCTGATGCCTGAGAGGAAACTGGAATGTCATGTAGCACAAAAGCCCTACTTAGTGTATCATCTAAGCCATGCACACCCACTTATTTGAAAGAGGATCTTCCTGAATTTCAGTTTAGAGGGTTTGACCGCTCTAAATTTTGCTTTCTTGTAAGCTATATTTAGCATACGTTCCTATCCCTTTTGTGGGCTGGGAGATCTCACTGTAGCGTACCAGGGAATTGGGTATTCAGGCCCAAGTATTTGTTGGATGGCTCACAGGCTGTCTGCAGTATCTTATTTCAGCATGTGGAATAAAAAACAGTCAAGAGCTTCTGTTATATTTTGAAGTGGAGGGTGTGGTTTTTGGAAAAGTGAATTCCATGTCTATTGAAAACCAAATGTCCTTCAAGGAAAAGGAATGAAGATGATTATTGAGTATGGAAGCCAACTATCACAAGGGATGTTTTTAGGCTTCTATACCTCCTAAAATCACATCTGTATTTTGAAAGCTGTTTTTCTCTCCAGGTATAACAAGGAAGACTCTCCTCATATTCTGCAGTTTACAGATAGTAAGTACAAGGATTTTTCAGAGCAGATCAGACCATGGTCCAAATCATTAGGCTTACTCCAGTGACTGATATTGTTTGCCACCTTCCTCTAAAGTTAAAAAAAAATTAACCAATTATGCAATCTTTTATAGTAAGAGAAAGCAGGGGGGCATTTTTTCCTGACCACAGCAGGATAACTAGCTAAAATAGTTGCCTTGTATGATCTGCTAATCAAGTCTACGTATGCATGCATGCAAAAGGGATGTAAGTGAGTAGTCAGCTACCCAAGAAGCCTAGGCTTATTGGGTAGTCGAGTCACTACTCAACTGTTTACTTCCCCCACCTCTTGCTACCTCTGTATCAGAGGCAGCAAGTCGGGGGGGGGGGGAGAAGTCATTGCTGGGGAGAGCCATCTTAAAAGCAGACTGAGCAGTGCTGGCTTGTGCCAGGTCCCAGATCTACCTCCGCTCCAGCTCTGCAGTTTAAAAGAGCTGGGCTGCCTGCGCACCCAGTTCCTACTACATTTAAACTGCAGAACCACAACGGGGCCCCTTATAGACTAATTGTGTAGTCCAGTGTTTCTCCACCAGTGGTATGAGTACCCTTAGGGGTACTTGAGAGAAGTTTGGGGGGTATATCAACACAACCGAAACTTGGAGAAAACTGAATTTTTGTTTTAAGTTTTACAGCGCTTTATTATTTTTGTACTTTATATACCCAAAAATGTCATTGCCCACCTGGCTACCATTAAGTTGATTATACAAATGTGTTGCAATAGCAGAAAAAAAGTGTTGTGTGTCTGAAAATTGTAGGTACTGGGGGTACTTACCATTTTTTTTTTTTTTTTTTTTTTGAAAAAGAGGTACTTTATAAAAAAAGGTTGAGAAACACTGGTGTGGTCGATACAAATTGTATTGACTACATCATTAGTCACTTATCTGCTTCTTAACATCCTTAGCGTGCACACATG